GCTCACGGCATGGAGATTATCTGGGCTGCTCTCTGCAGACACCACAGACCCTCCCAGCTGTTACAGGAATGTTTTGAACACGGTTACCTCTTCTGGACATCAGAACAAGGGGTCACCCAGAGCTGGCCTGTCTGGAACCACACAGGTGTTTGTGCTCGTAGCCATGGGTCTCCTGTTCTTTCTCTCTGCACTGTCCTGTCCTTCCTTCCTTACCCACTATCCTCATCAGATTCCACTTCAAGTGCTACTGCCTCATCGCCAAATTACCTTCTGTTTTGTGTCACGGAAACATGTTCATTTCTCACTCATCCTGATATACACTGTAAACTCAAGGATAGAGATGAGTCTTCCATCAGTTTGTCTATCATCTGCAAAGTACCCACAAGTATGAGCAATGGACTTTGCATGACTATGAACAAATAAACAAATGGCCAACACCAGGTCAATGGCAATGACGATGAATCTTTTCACACTTGCAATCCCTGAACTAAATGTGCTGCAATAGCTGTTCTAAACAGAGCAATTAATGGTTCCGGTCTTAGTATCACAGCTGGAACCCCTTACATACTCACACTAGGCAGTCCTGAGGCACAGACTCTCCTCCAGGCAGTTCCAGAAGTTGGCTGCTCTCAAAAATTCTTTAGACTGGTGATGTAGCTCAGTGGCAAAGTACTTGCCTAGCATATGTGCCTAGTATGTAGAAGAAGAATACAGTTGGGGAAGAAGAATTCAGTGCTGAGAAGATGGGGATGGATGGTGGGGAATGGTGGCAAGGCCACTCAAGGGGAAGATACAGAAGCACACAGAATGGAGCCTTGCAGTGTGACTGACAGATGGGAAAGAAGCTGGAAACATTCAGACCCTAAGTCATGGACCCCGTGGACAAGCAGCCAAGAGAAGTGAAGTCAGAAAACCCCAGTAGAGGTGGCTTATTTCATCAGTATCCAGTTGGTTAAAAATAACTTCACTTATTAGTTTAAGTGAGATCACCGCTGGGCTGGAAATTCACTGTTAGTGAAATAAAAACACTAGAAGGAAAATAAGAAATGTCTACATTGGTGATGAACTTTATTTCAATAAAGAAACGCAGAAGGAAGCTGCCTGAATGCTTCACAGGCCCTATTTTCCTGCTGGGCTCTGGCTGAGGCACAGGTTGGCCATTTTTGGAGTTAGCACTCTGTTCTTCCTCTCACCCACAGGAAGCAGCACAGCAGCACTTAGCGAAGACTCACCAGCAAGAGGAGACCTCTGGAGAACTCTGCATCAGAGTATGCACTGCCCAGAGCAAACTACAGCCCGGTCTTTTCTCCCTGGTTCCTACCCAGGTGCTATACTTTCAACAGCAAAGAGATTTTTCCTTTGCTGATGGTGCTGTCAACAAAGGCTGCACTGAGGAAAAGCTGCAACTCCACTGAAAAGGGTAAAGGGCCATGTGGTGTGGTTTAGGTGCTCCTTCTAAAGGAAGAAAGGAGAGGGACCGGGAAGAACGCGCTGTAAGTGACTGTGGGGTGCTTTTCTAGAAAAACCCCAGGAGAAACAGCCCTGTGACCCTCACTCATCTCAACATGCCTTCCTGAGTCTCCTTCATGACTCACCTAAAGCCTCCTCACCGGCCAGCCCTATAGCCCAAGACTCCAGTCTTCTCCATATAAGCCCTGCCCGGTGTGGCCCTCGGAATGGTTAGGGAGGGAAGGCTGGGCCAGGCCCAGGCAAACTGCCCTCGGATGCAGGGCCACTGAGCACATGACTGTGATGTTTGCAACTGTGCCAGCTGTATTAAGGTGGCAGCGGTTTTCACACACACCTGGGGAGGTGTCATGCACCCGACATGCATACAACGTATCAGGAGGCACATGATGTCAGTCTGTCCTTGACTCCCAGCCTATTACTCTGCCCGGCTCACACATGGGAGTCTGCTCAGTGAGCCTGAAGGCCGCCGCCAGCCCTGATGTTCTGCCCTTTGAACACATGCAGACTGTTTGCTGTGAGGCTCTCTCGTAAGCTGCCCTTGAAGTGATGGGCCTTAGCACCTGCCAATTTTGCATCACATATTTGGCTCCCTGGGCCTCAGGGGTTTTTGGGTTTTGGAAGATTTATTTAGTTTTCTTTTGTGCAATGCCAGGAATTGAAGGAGAGTTTTTGTTTGTTATTGATGTTTTTGTAGGAGTACATATAGATCATTTCTTTTGAAATTTTTATATAATTTCACAGTTACACAAAAATTGTAAGAACCAAGTTCTCCCACATACCCTTTACCCAGGTTCATCAATGTGTATTTATATGCATCCCTGCCTTTGTCTTATAATTTTCCTTCCTCTCTTTCTCACACATACGCGCGCGCGCACACACACACACACACACACACATGCATATAAGTGCAAGCAGCTTCTATACGTACATGTGTGTTTCTACATATACATGAATCTGTATACATGTGTATTTATGCCTATGATTCTTTTTTGAATCATTTGAGAATATACTGCAGATATGTTATCTCCTTGCCTCTGAAAACACTGGCTTACATGTCCTAAGAACAAGGATATTCTCTTATGTAAGTGTGGTACAGTTACCAAAATCAGGAAATTTAAACATTGATAACATACTACTTTAAATTCATAATCCATATTCAAATTTCACCAGTTATAGTTACTTTTTCCTAGTCCATATGATCCAAGATCAAAAGCTGCATTTGGTTGTCAAGTCTTTTTATGCTATTTTAATCTAGAAAGATTGCTGTGTCTTTCTTATCTTCAACATTTCATTTTAAAGCGAAGGATGTTCCTCAATTTCAGCTTTGTTTATGTTACCTGGTGACTGGACTGAGTTATGTGGGGGGTTGGGGGCAGTAAAATCATTCAATCAATTTGTTTTTCCAAGTGCAACACATCAGAAGGCACATTACGTTGGTTCGTCCACAACCCAAATGGGGAGTTGTTATCATGGCTTTGATCATCTTGTCCTATAGGAAATGAATGAATGTTTCCTGCCTCTGGCTTCATGCACTATTGTTGTGGCAAACCGGGCAGGGCACACACTTCAAACTCACACAATCTGTGCGATGGCCTTGAGGTGGTAACTTCAGGCTGAATGGGGAACACACGGCTCAGCCTTCCCCACCCTCCCCAGCAGCCAAGTTACCTGCTAGCAAGCGGATTACTACAGTCCCATTACCAAGCCCAGCCAAGGCTAGCAGAAAAGCAACATAAATTAGTGGTCTACAGAGCTGTGAGCCAAATAAAGAGTCCCTTTACGGCACTGCATTTTGGAATGGTGCGTTACATCACAAGAGCCAACAACGCTCCTCATTCTGCAGGGGAAAGAAACGGCACGCTACTTATTTCAAATAATTGAAGACACAGCCATCCTGGTTCTTCTGACTGTATTCTGTCTCCTTCAGGGACCTGATTCTGCCTATGTTGGTGATTCAGAGGAGCATTTTAATTATGTGGTTTTAAAAAAAGAAGAGACAAATCACAGTGCCACATCTCTTGGTTGCCTGACTAGACTGATCAAGAGACTCCCCTGACACTCTTCCACAGAAATCAGCTAATGCAGAATCTCCCTGGACAGAGACCCCATAGCAGAAGAGAAGCCTCTCACTAATAAACACCTGACAAGCCTCTGCCAAGAACTTAAATTTCACCAGGGCTCTTACATTTACAACTCCTCTAACCTCTTCTCTGGAGATGAGGATTTGGCTCATCTGGGATGCACTCTGAGGATTTTTCTTTCTTTCTTTCTTTTGAGACAGTGTCTCACTCTGTAACTCAGACTGGCCTTGAACTTACTATGTGGTCCAGGATGGCCTCAATCTCATGACAATCCTCCTGAGGTCTGGGATTGCAGGTGTGCACCACCACACCTAGGAGGATTTTTTTTTTCCTTTTGGTTCCAGGGATCAAACTCAGAACCTTACACTGGTGAAGCAGGTGGCAGAACTACTGAACTAAATCCCCATTTAGGATTTGTATTTTTAACAGGTGCATCCACTTGCTATTTCTAATGATCAGAGAAGTTTGGGAAATTCTGCATTATAAAAGTAGTTCTCAACCTAGGTTGTGCTTTAAAATCATTGGGGTGGTTTTAAAAAATCTTAATACCCAAAACATTTACAGCAGAATTTCTAGGACTGGCACCCAGGCATCAGTATTTTTTAATACTTCCCAGATCAGTGTAGCGTGCAGTCAAGCGGAACCTGTGCTGATTTCTAAAGAAACTGACCTTTTCTCCATTAGCATGAATATCCCCCTTTAACGTGTCTCTGATAATGAAGGTGTACTATTTTGGTGCTCATGAAATACTACCCCAGAGACTTCGTTATGGTTTTCTCCCCCACCGCTCAGCTGGTTTTCCAGAGGAAGTTGAATTTTCCTTCCTAAGAGCTGTTTTCTAAGTCCTGTAGATTTCCTCTGGGGGAAAAAGGACTTCTTTCTTTTGGATGTGCTGTTTGCTATGAGGAGAATGAAGTGCAGATTATGAGCATCAGCAACTGCAGCAGGTGTAGTCAGGGCTCTGCCCTTATCCCAAGAGAGCCAGATCATTCCCATGCCCAGGCGTTCTTGGTGGGCACCCATGCTTATTTATTGGAGTGTAGTACTCAAGTTAGCAGAACCTTTTGCCTATTCAAACAAACAAACAAACAACACCCAGAAGAGCCTGGGAATTTGTGTTTCCCAAGGTAGCCCTTTGCCAATGGCTGACAGGTGTAGTGGTATGAATACTTCCGCTCCCTACTCTGCCTCCAGAAATTTCCTGAGAGGCCAGGCCAAAGTTACCCTTACTTCACCACCACTGTGAACTTCACTTAATCCTGCACCTCTGCTTGGCCACCTTCCCTTTCCTCTCCAATTCCTCCCTTCCCAACTGGCTTTTCTTGGAAGTCTTCTTGTAAAGCACGTTCAGAGAGTCCTCACCTCGGAGACTTCTACTAAACTGATTCTAAGACAGCAAATGGCCAAGACTGCACCCTCCGGGGCCTTTACCAAGACGGTGGCACTGACCTTCATCTTGGACACAAAGGGCACTGTACATGCCTCCAGGAACTGGGTTGTTCTCAATGCGCACATCAACAGCTCTCATGATTTGCTGTTCACCAATCCCTTTGCTACACACAGTTGTCCTGAAACAGACAAAGGAGGCACTAGGTTAGCAGAACTTTTCTGGGTTGAAAAAAATGGAAAAGGATAATTCTTTTCTGCTATCAGCTCTGACTCAGCCAGTATTTTTCTGATTCATGAGCTCTGACTGAAAGCATCAATATGGAGACATTCTCCCCAAATGAAGGTCAACATTCAAGAAGGCTTGAGGTGAGTTCACAAGTATCAATACAAGTTTCAGAGGCAATACACTGTTGGTCTCTTCTAGTATATTTGTTACTTTATAGCATTCTTCCCTTTTTCCTGTTATTTTTTTTCAAATTTCTTAAGATAGATCATTAGTTCATGAACTGTCATCTTTATTCATTTTCTAACAGAAACACTGAATGCACTGTATTTCCTTCTAGATATAATTTCAGTAGCACTCTATTAGTTTGGGTATTTTTTTTTTTTACATTATCCCATTCTAAATAATGTGCTGATTTTCTTTACAATCTATATTTGTGTTATTTTTTTTCAAATTTCTTAAGATAGATCATTAGTTCATGAACTGTCATCTTTATTCATTTTCTAACAGAAACACTGAATGCACTGTATTTCCTTCTAGATATAATTTCAGTAGCACTCTATTAGTTTGGGTATTTTTTTTTTTTACATTATCCCATTCTAAATAATGTGCTGATTTTCTTTACAATCTATATTTGTCCCATGATTAGCTGTATTTCCTTCTAGATATAATTTCAGTAGCACTCTATTAGTTTGGGTATTTTTTTTTTTTTACATTATCCCATTCTAAATAATGTGCTGATTTTCTTTACAATCTATATTTGTCCCATGATTTACTTAGAAATATCTTTTGCAAGCAGCACATACTTAAATTTTATAAAAGTCACCTGGCAAGCTGGGCACAATGGCACACGCCTGTAGCCCCAGCTATTTGGGAGGCTGAGTTAGGACTGGTGTAGAGGGCCTGAGTTGCAGACCAGCCTGAGCAGCACAGCAAGACCCTATTTGAAAAAATAAAAACCAACTAACAAAAAAGCTCAATCTGATCCAAACGAAAACCATCTGACAATCCGTTTTCTAATACGAGCATCTGTCTACTTATACTCAATTTAATCACCAGTTTCTGCTATTTCAAACATTCTACCCATTGTTCTGCCTTTCATCCTTCCTCTTCCCTAATTTGGACTGTGTGAATTGGTTTTTGGGGAAGGGCACTGGCTTTTTCCTCTGTATTGATTTGACTGCTATTTATCCTTTTACTATTCCAATAACCCAGAGGTTACTTCTACCCTCTTCCTCAGTAATACAACTTAAAATACTTTGCACCTATACTATTTTAATGTGCAGTATTATTAGTGGTTATATAACTGTATAATTCCAATTTGCCCACATTATTTATTCCTTCTGTTCATTCTTTTTCACATCCACAAGCTTCTGCCTACCTTTAGTTCCTTCCTGCCTAAAGAATGCCTTTTAAGTGTTTCTTTTAGTGAAGAGTGAATGTCATAAATTATCTCAATTTTCATCTATCTGACAATGTCTTCATTTCACTTTTAATATTGAATATTTTCACCAAGTATAGAATTTTAGGTTGATAGTAATTTTGTTTCAGTGCTTTGATGATATTAATTGTACCTGGCCATACAATGTCAGTTTATTATTGTTCCTTTGAAATCAATCTTTCTTTTTCTAATTTTTCTTAATATTTTTTCTTTATATTTGATTCCTAGCAGTCTTTCCACTATGTGCCAAGTTGTGAATTTCTTTTTTTATGTGTCCTAGTTGGGCTTTGGAGGACTTCTTGAATCTGTGCTTGCTGGCCTTGAATTCTCTAGGTAGCCCAGGTTTACCTCAAACTCACAGTGATCCTCCTGCCTCAGCCTCCCAAGTGCTGGGATTATAGGTGTGCACCACCATACCCAGCTTCTTCATGTTTTTCTTCAGATGTCTATCATTCTCATGTTGCTTTTTCTCCACTTTTTTCTTTTCTTTTTTTTCCTTTTTATTGAGGTTATTGGTACAATCTAGGTATACAAATACAGTTACATTCATCATTGGGATTCTGTACCTTTACATAATAGGTCTTGATTCTCATTTTTCCCCTTGTCCCTGCCCTCCCTTTACCCCCTCCTCCCCTCCCCATTTACAAACACTTTATTTCCATTTTTTCAGTTTCTCATATTTTTTTCCTCTCCCTTATTACCTTTCCACCACCCTTCCTACTTTCCTTA